TCTAATAAAAAAGTAAACGAATATCTCTATCATCTCTAATATAGAGGAAATATCAGACCAAAAAATAAAGTAAAAACTGTAATTTTTTTAGGTGCCAAATCTTCGATCCACTGACCAATACAATGGATACAAAACAGTTCCTAAGTTTTATTCATTAGATCTGCTAATTCTTTGGAACCATCTGTTAAATATTCGGTTATCGGTTATTTTGTTAAATCGCCAATGTGAGGATAAAGGGCCATATTGGTGGTAGACTCCTCACTGATTTGATTTTTCTGGGTGTCGCTGCTGATATGACGAACCCTGTATATTAAGCACTTAGAAGATGCGTTTAATTAGGATGCCAGCGGTGTCATCGTTTATTATTATAGATAACATCTCTCTGGTCTCTTGCACTCGATTTTGTATTATGTCTAAATAAGAGGCAATGCAAATACTCACAGTCAACTATGTCCTTCACCAACTGAAATCTAGTGAGTTTTGATCAGAATACGTACAGGCAAACCGAGCTCCAGCTGTGTGATGATCATCTTGCGAAATAAGAGTCATGGCCGAATTATAAGAGTTTGTATGGGAATGTTTACGATGGCTCTTAGGAACAAAAAAGAAAGTCAAAATCTCTATAAAAAAAACCTCACCCTACTTTCACAGTGGATCGCTTGTTATCTGACAGCTTACTATGTTGAAAAGAACCCATTTTAGCAAGTTATCCATTTCAAGGTTTACTTAGGCTTTTGTTATGAGTAGGTGTACAGTAGTTGTATTGTGCAGTCCATGCAGATACTAATATAGCTTGATTTTTTTTTTACTTTGGGATGCACTACTGTAAACAAACTTACAAGTAGCACTTAACAGTATCAATTCTTACTCTTACACCAATTTAGAGCAAACTATAAGCAAAGATGAACATTTGCATCCCTTGAGCAAACGTATTCAAACATAGTAGTGAAAAATAAGTTTTGCACTATATTTGCCTGGTTTTGCACTCTAAGGCAAACTACTATTTTTTGCAAAGAGGGTAAAGTTTTCGCAAACTCACGTCGTTATTAAAAAATTGCCCTATGTGCAAGGATTAAGTAAATAAGGAGCACACTGTCGCATTTACTTTACATTTGCGTACCAACACCGTAAGAACAAATCAGCATATTTATATATTGTTTTGCAAATGCGGTGCAAATTTAGATCACTAAATTTGCTACATATCTGCTCACTTGGCAAACCCGAGTAAATCCATTTTTTCGTGCAGGGGATGGGCTAACCCTCGAAACTTCAGCTAAGAAACTCACGGTGGCCTGCAAATTGTCTATTGTTAGGTCCTACGAAGGTGCCAGGAAGAAAATGTGAAGACTCTGATTCAGTGATATCAACAACGCCGACCGAGGATGAAACATTGCAAGTAAAAGTGAAAAGACTAGAGAATGATGTCCACCTTCTAAAGGAGAGAGCGGAGAGACAAGAGAAACAAATGACTAGACTTTCAGGTGAGTTTTTTGGGACAAGGCTGGCCACGGAAATAATTCCAGCAGAGGAAGGTAATTAAATCATGCAAACACTCAAGTTAAGCTAAACAAGATATATATACAGTCAAACCTATATTAAGCGGTCACCCACGGGGAATGCCGGGGTTGGCGCTTAATACAGGTTAACTGCTAAATACATAGGTATGGATAAAATAAAAACCGAGGAAAAACGCCATTTTATGCCATAACTGACAAATAATTGTGAAAAGTACTATTAACATTGATTTTGGGAGATTAACATGGACTGAATTTTACTTAAAGGATTATTCTTAGTTAGCGGAGGATTTTCTGGGGGGATCAGTCGTTACCAACAGGATGTAAAAGATGGGGGGGGGGGGGTACTGTAGAAAGTTGTCTGCCATTTTATTGCCACCAAGGAGAGGGGGGTCATACGAATACAAAAGAGCTGGGGGGGGGGGTATCAGGTAAACTTTTTCGTGTCACAACCAAATTCCTTCAACGAAAGAAATTCGTTAAAACTATTTATAACTGAATTGAAACAGATAAGGCCTTTCGAGATTTCATTCCTTACATGCTCGCAAATATCTGTGCTTTCCCAACTTTCCTTACCAAGGCTTTTCAGAGACAATGTATTTAGACATTCTAGCCTTGTAATATATCAAATTAGATATGTACGTGTGCGCGGAAAATTTGATGATTAAATTGATAAAACGAGAATAGATTATATCAAGAGAATGTTTGTATTCTCTTGATTATACCTCGACCGCTCGCGGAAAGCTTGCGAGGGGCGCCATAGTTTATTTCTTAAAGTTTTTCTATCTTCAACCTGCTCCCACTGTAAACTGTTAAACATCCAAAAAGCTTCTCAACACATAAATGCATTCCTGCTTTAAAATGACATTTTTAAGCAAAAACATGTTGTTTCTTTATGTTTTTTTCTAGTTCAGAATGCCAGTTACGAAAGGCTCGGAGACAAGTCACGGGGTATTGACGAACACAAATGGGATTTTACCAAAATGTACGTGGAAAGTCTACAGTTTGAGACGAAAAGTTTAGTGTCTGAAGCATCTGACAGCGGTATGGGAACTGAAGGAGCACCATCTGAATTTGACGTGGAAATCGGTGGTCAGTATCGAAAAGTCAAAATTACCAAGCTTAGTTTCTGTGATGATGATGATAATAGTAATAATAATAATAATAATAATAACAATAATAATAATAATAAAACTTTATTTGAACACGATAAGTATTTAAAGCCAGAGGTTTGTGCGGTCGTGTTACAATAATATAATATAAAAATATTAATATATAATAACATTTATAAATTTGTTTAAAAATATAAAAATATATATTCAACTCCTTTTAAATAATACAGCAATATATATCTCAGACACTGCTAAGCAGTCACTCTGGATCCAACAAACACCACCAAACCAATAGTTTATTGATTTCTATTGATATTCATCGAATTCAAAACGACTGCCCAATAGTGATGGTTAAGTCAATCAATCCAATGCGTTATTTAAATGTCATATTAAGATTGACTCAACCATATCTCAAGAATACATATACATATCATTATATTTTGGTTTACATCGATCAATTAAACGATCAAAATTGAAATGTAAGAAATCACGTGACTTAGTTAAAAGTTTGCAGAAATGCTTTATACTCTTTGAATCTATGTGAAAAGCTATCATTCTGTTCTTGTTTGGTTTTTTATCTTGTTGTGATGACTGCAAAAAAATACCGTTATCCTTCTCCATGAAATGCTGGAAACCGTGTTTGAAATGTTATGTCTAGAAGGTGAAACATATTCTTTGAATGCCGCAAAACCCTCGACCAAATATAGTTATCTTTCAAATCGGCACTCTTAATCCCAGGTTATCAACGAACACTTTTCGTTCAACTTATCTATGCTAGTTACCATGTTCCCACCAAAAGCGTTGCTCCATTTTCTGGATAGAAACACACACAGGAGCCACAATTCCTTCATTCGCTCTGACGAAGGGCTAACGCTCGAAACGTCAGCTTTGAAACCCTTAATGATGGTCAATTTACGTTAAACTTATCAACTCAGTTGATAATACCAAATTACCTTGCTTAGTGTTATTATCATTACTAGTAATAACCAAAGGTTAGGAAATGCAAGCAAGGACGATGCATTTTTGGCTATTTGGTTAATGAAAGATTTGGGGGCCCATAGGGAGAAAAGATTTGTTTTGCGGGGTTGAAAATTTATTACATGAGGACACCCCCCATGCTCCAATCGCTTTTTCCTGTATTTTGACACTAACAATAGATTGATTTTAATAAACCTGTGAAACAGTTACCAACGCTGGATCATTTCACAGGACACTTGTTCCCTTGTTTTGTTTTGCTTATTTTTTAGTAATATGCTGTAATTGTTGTTGTTTCATGGTGTAAAGAAAATCACTGTAGGTTATAAAATGCGCGTATTGATCGAGTCAAAATGAATGATGCAACGCAACAATTATTTATTTATTACTGAAACGACCAATAAATGAAGAAGTTTCAGATTATTCCAAAATATAATATATAAACGATCCCGTTCCAAGGACCGAAGGACGAACAACGCTCTCGCTCCACGCTTCTATGAGATCAGAGACAACAATCTCAGACTATACGCTTGTCAGGTCAAGGACGAACAATACCGACGCTCCACGCTTAAATTAAAGGACTAACAGATACAACTCTCTCTCTACGCTTGAGGTCAAGGACTAACAAACGAACAACACTCTCGCTACTCGCCTGAGGCGGAATGCAGCCGAGAAATGGCATCCAACGCGACATGAACGGAAACGTCGAATCCAGATATTGACACGCTTGATTTGGATTGGTCGGCGCTGCTTCTATGCGTTAGCTTCACGTGTTCCAAGGTCCAGATTATGCGTGATGCGCATGAGAAAATAGCGTACTTTGCATTCCATACATTCTTAGTGGTAGACTCACTATTTGAGCAAAATCGAGTCAGGGCCAAACTACACAACTGCCGCGCATGCGTTTGTAAAAGCAACGTTGAGATTAGGATTGTGTGCTCCTCTTGCCGCCCGCAATTATTATTATTATTATTATCATTATTACTACTATTATTATTATTATTATTATTATGCTGAAAAGAGCCGCTCAATTTGCGAAGTGAGCAAGCTGAGAGATACGATTCCTTGAATTATATAACTGAAAAATGGAATGGAGGAACGGTGGATCGGCGTAATGACGGAATATCCTAAAACGCGGAATGCCGTTTTGTATGAAAAAAATGTCTCAAAAAATGGAATTGCAATAAAATAAGAAAATTAAAAGAAGCATAAGTAACATTGTTGGGGTCCAGAGGGTAGGGGAACCATAAGGCTTTTGAGCGAACCCCAGCAAAACTATATCCTTTCGTCATTGAACAACCTCTAGTTCTTTCCAATGTTCTAAAAATTGTTTTATATCAGAAGCCAAATGCAATCTTTGACTGTCTATTTTTACATATTGAGTATAAACGTTCTTATTATTACAAAGTACGGAAAGGTATGTCTCTTCTGCTGTGAAATTTTTTTTCATTTATCTTTTTTTTGTTCAGATAAACGTGACACTCAAACGGTAGCAGGCGACGATTGGAACTCACTGTCATCAGCTGTGCAGACTGGCAACTTTGCCATCATCGAGAATATGTTGTCACGTGGCCTGGATATCAACACAAAAAATAATGATGGTAATACGGCTTTGATTTTAGCTGTTTCTAGTGGCAAAATAGATGCCGTAAATTACCTCTTAGAGAAAGGAGCTGATCCCTTTATTGTAGGCCACTCTGGCATTACTCCACTGCACGCAGCCTCAAAGGATGATAATGTCAACATCATCGAAACACTAATGTCACGTGGCCTAGAGATTGATATAAAAGATAATAGAGGAGCTACACCATTGATAGTGGCTGCAGCTTGTGGCAAGATTAAAGCTGTAAATTATCTTTTAGACAATGGAGCCGATCCCTCTATTACAAACCAGTCAGGAAGAAATTCACTGCACGCCGCTTCACAGGGTGGTAATATCGCAATCATCAAGACACTAATGTCACGTGGCCTAGAGATCGATATAAAAGATAATAGAGGAGTTACACCATTGATGTGGGCTGCATTGTCTGGCAAGATTGAAGCTGTAAATTATCTTTTAGACAATGGAGCCGATCCCTGTATTAGAGACAAGTTAGGAAGAAATTCACTGCACGCCGCTTCACAGGGTGGTAATGTCACAATCATCGAGACACTAATGTCACGTGTTCTAGAGATCGATATAAAAGATAGTGAAGGAAGTACACCATTGATGTTGGCTGCATTGTCTGGCAAGATTGAAGCTGTAAATTATCTTTTAGACAATGGAGCCGATCGCCGTATTAGAGACAAGTTAGGAAGAAATTCACTGCACGACGCTTCACAGGGTGGTAATGTCACAATCATCGAGACACTAATGTCACGTGGTCTAGAGATCGATATAAAAGATAGTGAAGGAAATACACCATTGATGTTGGCTGCATTGTCTGGCAAGATTGAAGCTGTAAATTATCTTTTAGACAATGGAGCCGATCCCTGTATTAGAGACCAGTTAGGAAGAAATTCACTGCACGACGCTTCACAGGGTGGTAATGTCACAATCATCGAGACACTAATGTCACGTGGCCTAGGGATCGATATAAAAGATAATAGAGGAGTTACACCATTGATGCGGGCTGCATTGTCTGGCAAGATTGAAGCTGTAAATTATCTTTTAGACAATGGAGCTGATCCCTGTATTAGAGACCAGTTAGGAAGAAATTCACTGCACGACGCTTCACAGGGTGGTAATGTCACAATCATCGAGACACTAATGTCACGTGGCCTAGAGATCGATATAAAAGATAATAGAGGAGTTACACCATTGATGCGGGCTGCATTGTCTGGCAAGATTGAAGCTGTAAATTATCTTTTAGACAATGGAGCCGATCCCTCTATTAGAGACCAGTTAGGAAGAAATTCACTGCACGACGCTTCACAGGGTGGTAATGTCACAATCATCGAGACACTAATGTCACGTGGTCTAGAGATCGATATAAAAGATAGTAAAGGAAATACACCATTGATGGCGGCTGCAGTTAATGGCAAGATTGAAGCTGTAAATTATCTTTTAGACAATGGAGCCGATCCCTCTATTAGAGACCAGTCAGGAAGAAATTCACTGCACGCCGCTTCACAGGGTGGTAATGTCACAATCATCGAGACACTAATGTCACGTGGTCTAGAGATCGATATAAAAGATAGTGAAGGAAGTACACCATTGATGTTGGCTGCATTTTCTGGCAAGATTGAAGCTGTAAATTATCTTTTAGACAATGGAGCCGATCCCTCTATTAGAAACCAGTTAGGAAGAAATTAACTGCACGCCGCTTCACAGGGTGGTAATGTCACAATCATCGAGACACTAATGTCACGTGGTCTAGAGATCGATATAAAAGATAGTGAAGGAAGTACACCATTGATGTTGGCTGCATTTTCTGGCAAGATTGAAGCTGTAAATTATCTTTTAGACAATGGAGCCGATCCCTTTATTAGAGACCAGTCAGGAAGAAATTCACTGCACGCTGCTGCACATGGTGGTAATGTCGCAATCATCACAAAAATGCTGTCACTTGGTTTGGATGTTAATTCAAAAGATATTAGAGGTCACACACCGTTAAAAATCGCAAAAACATTTGGTAAAACTGAGGCCGTAACCTTCCTACTTAGCAAGGGAGGACATTGCAAGAGCTCTTTCAAAAACCGCTTTAACCAGGTACTCTGGAACTTTGTATCATAAGTGTCTTATGATTTTTAACGAAATGCGCATTTTAAGATGAGAATTGCAGCATACAGTTACTTGTTATCACCAAACTCAATGTAGAGTAGTGTGTTTGGATGTTTTAACATTCCCATATAATTCAGTTATATACTCGTTATTCATTTCTAAACTTTAGCCTTAAGCATTAGTATTTCTCAAAGATATGCAGATGATGTAGCATTCTTTTCTTATATTCCAAAGTGGAACTTGTGTCAAGTTTTAGACTAACAGGCCATTACATTAGTCATTAAGGCTATTATATTATTGGAACTATACTCTATATATTTTTATCGTTATACATTGTTGGAACTTTGGAGTGACATTAACCATACGATTTGATCATCCAGATGGAAGTAGTCCAAAATCTTGTCAGTGACAATGGCTGTGGTTTCAAATACATGAACAGAAGTTATCATTAAAATCAAGTGAAAAATTGTAAGTTTAATTCTGGTCCTTGAAAAGTGACAAATGTCATTTAGATGATCACACAACATGACTGAATGTTCTCCTTGGTTAGATGCTTATTAGTGCGTTTTTTTAGTGTTGTCTTGTGATACGGCTGGGAGACTTTTCAGTTATGAGACACTATTTGCTTTGTAATGAATTGATAACTTTTAAGATGTAGTAGAATAAAAACATAACAACATTTAAATTATGTTTTTTAGTAAATAACTTGGTAAATGGTCAAGTTCGATAAATGTAAGAAGTAAAAACCGGAGCTGCGTCAGTGGAAGAGTACAACAGGGTAATTAAGTATCATTGACTGAGTTGATAACTCAGCGAGCGTTAGACCTTCGTCAGAGCGATTGTCGAAGGGCTAACGCTCGCAATGTCAACTTTGAAACTCTTTATGGTGGCCAATTTACGTTACCAACTCAGTTGATAATACCTAACAACCCTATTCTATTAAATGGTTTATCGATAACATGGCACCTTGCTGCGTAATCGCGGGTGGTCTCTAATTTTAGAAATTTATGCGCAGAATGGAATACGTAAGCCAAGGAGGGGTGTGAGACGGACTATTACTACAAAGGGAGGGGTGGGAGGTGGTTGAAATAGGAAACGCTGCTGGTTAATGGAGCTTTTACTCGATCGTACAAACAATTTGAATTGGTTTTTCGACTGAGTTTTTGTATGTCAAAATTTAAGCTCTGGGTCGCGGCGTATCTTCATTTTTTTTTTGTCATGCGGAAGCGAAACTGCCACGTTAATACTGGACTTTAATTTGTATTGAAAATATCGCGTTTATGATCCTCCACTGTTGAGTTATGCGTGCACCTTTTGAGTCAATTTGTGCACTATCAGTTGCTTCAAGTTTCCCTTTGTGTATACAGTATGTAATTATTAACTTTAACTATCTTCCTTTTGTCATTGATCTTATCAAACGAGATCACGGAATTTCCGGTCTTTAGCCCTTAACTTGGCAACATATAGAATTCACAAGCGCTATTGCAATTTTAAAGTTTATACCTTTACTATTAAAAATCATCAGCGAACGATTTTGAAGAGGAATCCATGCTCTCGAATCGACCAAAAACACTGCTGTACTCTCAAAATGGGAAAGTGCAAATATCGATTTCATCTGTTTCGCAAACAAAGGAGTTAATCACCGACACCGGAAATCGCGACCGGGTATCCCTCGCGACTCCCCTAGGTTTGTTTTCCAATTTACTCAAGCCGCTGTCAATCAGTTCTTGCGTTAAGACCTATGAAACCTGCGAAGTGGAACTATGGTGGCTACTGTTGCTTGCCGATAATTTCCGTCGGCAAAACGTAGAAGTCCAGTGTTTGGTGGTAGTTTCGCTTTCGCATGACAAAAAAATGAAGAAACGCCGCGACCCAGCCCAAAAAAATTTTGACATACAAAAACTCAGTCGAAAATCCAATTCAAATTGTTTGTACGATCGAGTTAAAGCTCCATTAACCAGTAGTGTTTACCATTACAACCACCTCCCACCCCTCCCTTTGTAATAATAGTCCGTCTCACACCCCTCCCTGAGTAATAACACTCTGCCTCCCACCCCTCCCTCAGAACTGATAGACTTCATCCCACCCCTCCCTCAGTAATAATGGTGTGCTCCACCCCCCCCTCTAAAATGGTCCAAAAAAAAAAAGTCCAAAATATGGCCCAAAAAATGGTCCAAAAAATGGTCCAGTCCATATTTTACTCTATGCCGTAAAGTTTCATCTCACGCATGCCTAGACCAAAGACTTTTCCATTGGCAAGTTGAAGTTCTTCAAACGAGAAGTCTTTTTGTCCAAGTTTATTACGATGCGGCTCGCAAAGGAACAGTGGCGTCGGAATTCCATTAAAGTTTCAGTAGATTCAAGTACTGAAGAAATTCAACCATATGACTGCACGTATCGCTACGTGTACCGTAACATTTGCGTTGTGTGACGAGAAGGTATGTAAGCGTATGTAAATAGGAAAACAAAGAAGAAGAGTATAGTATTGTTCACCAAATCGCGATGACCACCAAATTATTTACACTTCGCTCAACTGACGAAGAAATTATCTGGGTACTTGATGACCAGATAAAAGAACACAGCTCTCCGGAGATAAAGAAGCTGCAATTTGGTCAAGATTCAATCGCTATCTAATCATGATTTTCAACATCAGATTTATTCAAGAATCTTCACAATGATAAGAAATAGTATTCACGTTGACTGAAGGTCAGGTCAACTTCAAAGATTGGTCAACAATATGAAACATTGACGTTTGAAAATTCTAGAACCACGCAAAAACACGTAACCCGCATAACGTGATAGTAGAAAGAAGTAGAGAGTGTTTAAACGGTTTTTAAGTACGTGCTAAGGGGTTTCCGCTAATTCTCCGCGAGACAAATCAAAGCAGGTTGGGTCGTTTATAAATATAACTTCGGTGCGTCTTTCTGTTCATTTGTGTGGATATCGCTTAAATCTTAAAAAGGTAAATTACCTCGACATAGTACACCTCACCCGCAAAATTTTATTTATCAGTTATGGAGAAGCTTTACAAGACACGCAGTGAAACCTACCTTTGGCAGGTAAATCCGAAATTCTGGAAAGAGCCTTTGCCGAAGAAGAAAAAACTAACAAAAGGAAAGAGCTACCTTCCGTATTCGCCTCCATCTTATCGTTTTATAAACAACAACTTCGGTAGTTTGGTATCGTCTCAAGAAGGAGATTTTTGCCGGCTAAAAGAGTGCGCTGTGTTCAGAAGAAGACCAAGTTGGCACAGGAGACGCTTTGTGCTGTTGGAAGATAAGCTATACTGTTATGACAAGAGGGAAGAAGTGCTGGTCTTCTCCGAGATCATAATGATGTCCAATGTCACGTCTTTGACTGTTCAGAACTCCATGTGCATTAAGATTTCCCAGGTTGATGGGAGTATTAGAATGTTGAGATTCTCGTCTACAGAAGTCAGAAACGCTTGGCTCACGGCCTTATTGACAGCTAAGGCAGTCAATTTACTGAAGTACCAGTAATACTTTTAGAGGCATCACTACTTCAGTAAATAATCTGAACATTCAAGCATGTAATTAGTCAAGTTTAATTCTCTCCAGGTATAAATATACTCTTGGACTACTGATAAGGTTTGAAACAATATTGTAATCATGATAATGACGAGAAATGTTTTAAAATCTCCTCAGGAAAAATATCAAAAATTTCAAGGATAAAGTCAAGTCAAGGTTAAACAGTATTTATTTAGTCGTTCAAGGAACACAAACATAAATTCCCAAGAAATTGTTGCGCTTTTATTTTGTAAAGCCTTTTCATTAAAGTGACCTTTGAGATAATTAATCGTAAAACGTGATTACTTTCAATACTCAATCTTTTAAGAGGGAAACAAGCGCCTTTTACTGTCAGATCAATAAATTTGTATATAAGTATTTAACTTTAGGAAAAGTCCAGAAGAGTTGGGATTATTCATGAAAAAGTTAATCTTTTTTCGACCATAAAATCCCTTTGATTGCAATGACTCAAAAGGGTAAGCTTTAAAAATGTATCTGTAGGTCGCGAAACTAGGATGTCATTCCTTTAAATAGTTCATCTCGTTGAAAATGCGCAGTTCAAATATAAAAATTTGACTGAGCAACACGAGATGGGTGGCATGTTTACATAGCACCTCTTTAGCTCGTCCGCTAGTCTGAGCGGAAGGAAAGGTCAAATCAAATGAGTTTATTTAAACATACACTCCGGCTACTAAAAATATCTCTTCTTAGAGTTTCTTCAGAACCACAAATATTAGAGGAATCTTCTGTTTATCTTACCCATTTCCACCCTACATTTCTCAAACAGTGATTTTCTTTGCTGATTGACATAGATATGTTAACTCTGAGAATTGGGGAGTTGATCAGACAACATCCCTTTTCTTTATTCTCGTCACCAATCTGCTTGCCTTTGTATTGATATCATAGGGGGTTGGAATAGTGAATTGGTCAACAGTCCTGGTAAAGGGGCTAAAACTCTACAATGAAGATCATCAAAAAGATGCTTAGCATTAAGTAATGACAGAGAGAAAACCATTACAATCTGGCTACGTGACTTGAACAAGTCTAAACAGATTTTAGGTGGGAAAATCAATGAACATGTATTTTCAGACGCATTAAAATCGAACTTGTTCTCAAAAATTCATCCTTTAATGAGACATTGAAAACACGATAGCGAATGACAGTTTTAGGTATATTGCATTGTACGTGAACTGTAGTTTGTGTTAAGTCACAAAGGTGAAAGGTGAGGGGCTACCACGCACAAAAAACACTCTTACCACTATGCCGCAATAAATAAGAAACCACAAAAGTCCAAAGATGAAAAGGCTCTGCGCGGGACATCACCTACGCTCGTCACTCGCAGCACGTTCAGCTGAAAGTCTCATTAAATTCAATGTTTTTTCAATGAGACTGAAATTGAACCACGATACAAATAACATTCATGACCGACACGTTTTGCACACTTCTTTTAATTCGTTTGATTTTGTTTTTGAACATTTCTTACAGCTACTTCCATTTTCATGAACTGATTGAGCTAATAAAATTCTGACTAATACATGACGTACGATTCATTTACCTCTACAAAAATATACTTTTAATATGCCTAACTACTAAGTTGCTTTTTTAGTGGACGACTCTCTACAGGTGAGTATATTTTTAAAAAGTTGTGTGACCACAGGAAAGACAACAAATGAAAGCTAACTATGTCAGTATTTAACATCGGAAAGCCACAAAAAATATACTCTTGGCATATCTACAATTGATATTTAGCAATAAGAATTGACTTAAACTTCGTATTAAAACATTTGAGAGAGAGAAGCTTTATGTCACCGCTTATATCATTCCAAACTTTAGCACCCTGGAACCTTATAATGAAAATTCCATTTAACAAATAGAGAAGCCTTGACTGTGTTCTGTTCTGTTATAAAGCACACAGGAAGCGGTTAGAGCACGAAAGAAGAGTAGGGAGAAACACGAAACGTATTCGAGTATTTCTCTCCACTTAGCCGCTTCCTAAGTGCTTTACAAGAGAACAGAGCACAGTCAATGCTTCTCTGTTTGTTTTATAATAAAGCCATGATGAACTAGCCGCGTAGGACCTCAGCAAGGTCGCCGTCGTTCTGACACCGTCATGATTACTATGAATTTCCACTGTTAT